AAATCTTTGGCGACAGGGACGCTCAGTGGCTAGGACGCTGAGCTTGTCGATCAGAAAGGTGGGCAGTTCGAATCCCTAGCGCCGCGTAACGGAGGGAGCTCCCGTGACTTGTCCCAGCTTCTGCCAACCTAGCAGTTCGAAAGCAGGTAAAAAATGCAAGTAGAAAAATAGGCACCATCTTTTTGGTGGGAAGGGAACAGCGTTCCCTGCAACTTCGGGAGTTGAGTCATGCCGGCCACATGACCATGGAGACGTCTTCGGACAGCGCTGGCTCTTTTGGCTTTGAAACGGAGATGAGCACCGCCCCCTAGAGTCAGGAACGACTAAGCACATACGTGCGAGGGGAAGCTTCACTTTTTAGTTGAGTGATGGAGTCTTAATTTATCCCAACTGATGCTTTAGGGGGGAAAAAACCCCAAAACTGTGAACTGTAATTCTGCCTTCTTTCTGGTTTATTTTAAATTCATTCAAACTTCCCTTTTCTTTTTAATAACATTTTTTAAATTTTTTTATTCTCTTACCATTTTAAGTATACATTCACATAAATCTTTTACATTTGTCGTTCTTATACATTTGTTGTTTCATTTAATAGGTTATAATATACAGTTTGGGTTGCTTTATTTACCATCCCATTGTAACACCACCTCATTTTCCCTTTCTTTTCTCCCTCCCTTCTCTACTTCCTTCCTTCCTCTTCTCCTTCCCCCTTCCTTCCTCCTTTCCCTTTCTCCTACTCCTACTCTTCCCCTTCCTACCCTCTCTCCTTCTCTTTCTCTCCCTTCCATCCTCCTCTCCTTGCCTCTTTCTTAATAATTCATTCAAACTTCCGTAGGTTAATCCCCAGTTGGCTTAATTTCCATTTGAACAAAAAACAGGGGGGAAAAAAAACCTGTTCTTCCTTTATCCAGAAGATGGTGCTAGTCCCTAGTGAACTGAACCAGAGCAGCTGAAGAACCTGAAATGTGGGGGAACCAAGGGAATTGGGGAGGTTTTGACAGAAGGGAAAGTGGAGCTGCCATCTGCGGCCAGCTTCCTTGCTCCAGGCTGCGTCCGGGGTAGAATTTTAAATGTGGTTCAACACAATAGCTGGGATAACTAACAGCGTCAAGCTTGCAGACTAGGTTTCCTTTGTAGTTTTTCCAAAACATGCCGGGGGGTGNTATTCTATATTCTCTATTCTATTCTGTTCTTATTCCTATTCTATTCTTTATTCCCTATTCTATTCCATTCCATCCCTATTCCCTATTCTATTCCTATTCTATTCTATTCTATTCTATTCTATTCTATTCTATATTCTATTCTGTTCTTATTCCTATTCTATTCTCTATTCCCTATTCTATTCCATTCCATTTCTATTCCCTATTCTATTCTATTCTATATTCCCTATTCTATTTCATTCCATCCCTATTCTTATTCCCTATTCTATTCCTATTCTATTCTATAGGTCTATCGATCTGTGGTTTCGTTCAGACAGTTTCTACTTGGATAAGACCATGTATGAATTCAGTTTCTGTAGCGGCCAACTCAAAACAAACCATCGTATGGGTCACCCTAATTCTCTGCTTCTCTTCTCGTTCCCATTAGCAAATGTACATTTCCTACGTCAAAAATTCGAGATTCACCTCCCCTAACGCCCTCCCTCTCATCAACTTCATGCAACGGACTCTAGTCGAGATGTATGCCCTGGATCCCTCTGTGTCCTACCAACAGGCCTTCATATACATCCGTCAGCTGGCCATCCACCTGCGTGGGGCTATGACCATCAAAAAGAAGGTGGGTTCTTTATCATATGTGGTGGCCATGTACAAAAATCTGGATAAATTTGGGGCCGGATAAAAGATGTTAGACCAAAACCAGAACTATTCCCATTAGGGATAATAAAAGAAAAAACAAATAGTAACGGAGTGACGTATTTAATGCTTCATGGGATAACCGCAGCAAGATTGGGCCCATTTTAGCAAAAAATGGGGTGGTTTTTGCTCATTTTTGGGGGGGGGGCAAACCCCAGGAGCACTCTACAAGCCTCCTAAAGGCTATTCATGCCCCTTTTTAAAAAGAAAAAACAAAAAACCATCCCATGTTCGCGAAAAACTCCGAACCTTCGCGTCTTACACTCCGAAAAATGCGGTATGTATTTATCCAGTTCCAATTTTACCATCCTCAAAATGTTCTGCTCCGACTCCTTTTACTCATTTCCAACCATTGACACATTTTGTTCCAAATTTTGTAATATTCTGCCTCGTCTCTATTTTTTATTTCTAGTGTCAGTCTGTCCATTTCTGCACAGATCAAAATTTTCTCTTCTTGTGTGGGGGGAAAATATCTATTTTTTTCCAATTCTGTGCATATAACATTTTTGTAAAAAAAAAAAAAGTGCATGCATAGCCTTTAGGAGCCTTGCAGAGTGCTCCTGGGGGCTTGGGGGGGGGGGCAAAATTGAGCAAACAAAAGGGCCCATCTTTTGCTCATTTCTGCCCTCCCCAACCCCCAGGAGCACTCTGAAAGCCTCCTAAAGGCTACGCACAGCCATTTTGGTGAAGGGGGTGGGGTTTCGGGAGGCAAAAAATATATATGCTGTGTTCGGTGTATAAGACGCACCCAGATTTTCAGCCTCTTGGGTAGAAAAGCATCTTATACTCTGAAAAATACGGTAGATAAATATATAAAGGAGGATAAGGGATGTCTTAATAAGATTAATGTAGCTATGTACGATAAGTAGGAACTGTATTTGTTTTGTATGCTAAAATATGTATGGAAATGACAAAGCCAGAAAAGTCGCTTATGTCCAATGTTTTTTAGTGTTTATTTAATTAATTTTTTTTAAAAAAGGAGATGGGTTTATCTGAAGGCGTACGAAGGCACAAAAGCAACACAGCCAGAGAACAGGTCTAACTCTGCTTTATTGCCCCAACTTTGCCCCCAAACTTTCCCACGTTCCTTACACGTCCTGGCGCAAAAGCGCTCACACACACACACCTTCAGCAGCCTCTGGCTGAAAGTAGTCCAGTAAGCAAGGTTAGACAGACAGTAACCAGAACAAGAGGTTCAGTGAAGCAGGCAAAGCCTCACAAGACAGAGAGCACTGTAATTTCCAGGCGTCGGTAAGTGCACGCGAGGCTCCACAGATCCCACGCCTGTTCCCACTGACACCTCCTTACCTCTCAATCCCCCAGATGTGCCTTGTGAAAGGGGACGAAGCACTCTCCTCCCTCGTAGCTGGCTCAGTCTGTGTCGTTCTCGCCTTCTCTCTTCTCTCCGTGCTTTAGGATCAGGAGGAGGTGGTCCTTGCTCTTCGCCTGAGTTCTCTCTCTCCTGCTCCTCCCTGTCTGTAATCTAAAAAGTCACAGCACGAAAGGAAAACAGAGGCATCTATTCACAATTCTGAACAGCTTTGGTTCTTACAGCGTGCTTCATTAATTTATCAGCGTTACTTCCTGGTTCTCTCTTTTTTTAATAATAGGAAAACTATCAGTCGGTTTACAACTGGCAATATGTCCATTGCTTATATTTGTGGTGCCGGGCTTTGAGTACGATGCATCCGAGTGACATCATGCAACCTCTGATCTACCCTTTGACCCAAGTCATCATTGGCTGCATTAAGTAAGTAGCTACACAACCCTTAACCCTTTGGGGTCTGCAGAAATTCTCAATCGTGGTGGTCCCAAAGTTGCTTTTTCAGGAGGCTTGCAAGCATAATTTACTTGTAAGCAAAGCCCCGTGTATGTTAGACAAAAATTTTAAAGTACAGATTTTAGGGACGCGTGTGCCAAAACTCAAAACAAAGTTTAGTTTGCACGATTTTTCTGAGTCAAATTTGATAGATTTGCAAAACTGAGGAACCGAGGAAAAATAATACAGGACAGGTTGATAAAGTTTAACTGAGAAATGGAAGCAGTCCAAATAGAACGGTGGTTTGTAATAGTTTGGAAGGAGGATGCGTTATTTGTGCATTGCTAATAGTGTAAGGGGGAACGTGGTGGCTCAGTGGCTAAGACGCTGAGATTGTTGATCAGAAAGGTTGGCGGTTTGTTGGTTCGAATCCCTAGCGCCGCGTAACGGAGGGAGCTCCCGTGACTTGTCCCAGCTTCTGCCAACCTAGCAGTTCGAAAGCAGGTAAAAAATGCAAGTAGAAAAATAGGCACCATCTTTTTGGTGGGAAGGGAACAGCGTTCCCTGCAACTTCGGGAGTTGAGTCATGCCGGCCACATGACCATGGAGACGTCTTTGGACAGCACTGGCTCTTTGGCCTTTGAAACGGAGATGAGCACCATCGCCCCCTAG